TTCGACCGGCCGTTGGCATTGCGGTCAAACCAGGGGGAGGGGGAAAATGGACAGATACAACAATCAAAAGATAGGATGTTTGTAGAAATGTTCTGAAGACAATCCTTGATGAAGTTTCTCGACCGTTATACAGCACTAAGCAACGGAACGGAAACATGATGACGCTGTGCTTGGACCTTCTTGATTCTGATATCGTGGTATTGTAAATATAAAATAATCTAAATGATTCCGTCTCAGGGCTTGACAGGCGCTTCACACTGGCGAAGCGTAAAGTGCTACTGCAAAACTTGGTAGGCTAGAACCCCATCCGCCGACTTGCGGCTGAACCGATTGAGGTAGTAGACAAGCTTGTCTACCTGGGTAGCTGTGTCAGTCCCGGTGATCTGGCGAGAGGCGATATTCCAATCTGGATTGGGAAGGCCAGAGCAGCTTTTGCGGGCCTGCATCACCCATGGCGTAGGCGTAACAAGCTTATCCGTCAAGGGTCGAGTTTACAATGCTGCGGTGCGCTCCATATTACTACAGATCAGGAAACTGGCCGCTGCACATTGAGGACGTCAAAAGACTTCCAGTGTTGTCTTCGGAGCGTTGCCCGAGTCTGGTGGGAACACCGGAACAGCAATGCTGAAATACGTCGTGGTATTTGGAAGGAACAACTCATCCACGATAGATGAACTGATCGCAATTCATAGGTTGAGCTGGCTTGGCCACGTGCTCCGTATGCCAGTCGACCGACTTACTCGAAGGTTTCTTTTCGCACAACCACACGAAGGGTGGAAACAGGCCAGGGGAGGACAAACACTGAATTGACAGCAAAGTGTGAAAGCCATTACCAGCAAACTTAGCTGCCCTGGTCATTGCCGTCTTCCTGGATGGTGACCTTGAGACGGGCCACATCAATGTTTAGGGACATTGTCGGACATAGCCCAATCGTGCCGTCAATGGCACTCGTGCACCGAAACGGTTGCCTCCAATGCACAGCTCTCTTCCCAACTTCCCCACTTAACAGTTCAGTATTTGATAATAATGATGATGTGTTGGAACCTGTGTGCTGATCGTTTTTCAAAGGGAGCATCGATTAGAGTCGGCACTGTGGCCGACCTATTCGTCTCCAGAAGTCACCACTTAACATCTCGTGCACTCATACTTAAGGATCCGTGGCTCCTTATCTCACTCCCTGCTCACCTCAGAGGCATTCTTTACAAATTACCGACCCAATAAGTGCATTAGGCATTCTCCGCCGTGAAACTTCCACGTACCTCTAGGTGTTTGCATTCATCACAGATTTAGTGTTTGGTTTCCAATTTCAACATGTGCCATTTTTCACGTATGCTTCTTTACACAGGATAACGCAGCATTTACCCGCAAGCAGTGACGAAAATTCCTCACCTCATCTTGTTTACTGGACTGAATTCGATTATTAAGGGCCAAAGTAGATTTCCAAAGTGGTCCAAAGGATTCCTAACCATTTTTCGCTTAAATCGGGTTGATTCATTCTTGAATTAGAGCCGTTCGGCTGCGGGTTTTTTGTCTTGATGAAACTAAACACCATTTGGATGACAGTGAATCGAATTTTGAAAATGTACATCAGCAACTTAACGGGAATAGCCGGTATTACGAACTCGGTTCACAGTACCCAAAAACACCGCTGGGTCGATTCATTGGGCAAGTAACAAGCAACAAGCAGTACTTGAGCGAAATCTGGATTGTATAAGGGGGACCCGAACACATTCGTGAAAGCTGAACAATTATTTTTTATTCCAACAGAATTGGAATTATGAAGAGGCAGTACCGAATCGGTATCCATATAAATGCACCTACAGGTGACTAAATCCGTTCCATTGGACGGAGCAGTGGATTATTTTACGGAATTCCTTTGGTCGCGCACTTTTGTAGTAATGGACCACCACGCCATCAACGGCTAAACCAAACGATATCTTTGACCGGACAAGCAAAGCAACGAGATTGTCGCCACGCCACGGACATCGGAAAATCCAGTGTAGAAAAGTCGAGTACCAAAATTTTCAGATCCGTCACGTGATCACGGCATGAATGACGTGAAACGACAAGAAACTTGAATTTTATGCCAGAAGACTGCCCAATAGTGAAAGGGACAGGGATTTAGCACACGTGTCCCTGGCCAGCTGCGTAGCACGTGACCGTCCTTGTCCGATCATGTGAACAATGTGTAGGTAATATCATCACAATCGACAGCAACACAAAGCTTAACTGCCATATAATCACGGGGATGAATGTCCCAGTAAAGAGTGAAAAGAATAGTAAGAACTTAATACAAACAGCATTGTTCCTAGGCGAAATAACCAAGAACAGAGTGCTCACACAGTGAAACGGCAACGAAATGAACTAATCAGGGAATCATATCGAAGAGGTGGGTTTGAACCAGCGTCCTTTTCGAACCCCGCTCAACAGAAAAAAAACGGTGGGTGGGCTACGTGCCATGTCTTGTGGGGTTCCTAATCACGCTTGACGTGGACCTCAACCAGGTTGGCGTGAAAATCACACCGCACTCAGTTTGAAAGTAGCCGCCCTCATTTCGTGTTACCAAATCATGGCCTGTTCCCGACGAGGTTTTCGGCAAGAATCTGGTGTAGAAAACAGTGCTTTTTGGGTGGACGGTGTTTGGACATGCGTAATACATGTACCAACCACTTTGATCAGGTAAGTTTTATCTGCTACCCTAGGGATTCTGATTCAATACGAAGTACTTCCTGACCATTTCAAAGCGAACAGACTGTAGCTAGCTAGGACCTACTGTACTGCGAAGATACCCATGACCAAACGCTTGGATTCGCTTATGGTCCGCGGATCGGAGGAATCAAGTTTCACAACCATAGATTAAGACTGCCCTTACACTTGACTTACACACAAGGCCATTCAAATTCAGTAGAATTCGTTTCTGACGCCATGAATGATGTGAGTTAGCAAGTGCCGTTCGTACGTTGATAATGCGTACATTAAATTCTTGTCAATCTAGCTGTCCAGATAAGTAAAGTGGTCAGCAAAACTCCAGTCCCTCTACCCAAAGTTCCGGAAGGACATAAAGGATATAGGACAAGAGTTATTCTGTGCCAAATTCGGACAGTATAGAAAATTTTTGAGGAGCATACTTCCAGAAACCCCGGGGTTAGCACGTGAAACAAACGACAATCAAGACTAGTTGATGCACAATCATTTATAGAACCCACTGCGTTAGACCACCGCACACGCCAAGTCTAATTTCGAGATCTACAGTCCAGGAACCAACACAACCGTCATATGATGAGGGCCCTCCTCCGTAGGCAATTACACAATGATCCTCATCGAGCTGGACTGGCTGCGTTACACCACCGCACACGCCAAGTTTTATTTCGAGATCTACAGTTCAGGAATCTGGTTAATCAGCCTTCAACACAACCGTCATATAATGAGTGCCCTCCTCCGCACGCACTTACACAATGATCCTCATCGAGCTGGACTGGAGAGTCTCTGGTTTCGACCAAACCTGGTTAGCTGGGGGAACGTTTGCGGTAAACGCGGTTGCGTATGATCCACATGAGCAGTGAACTGTCTAGCACACCGTTTCTCGATTTCATTTGGTTCGTCCTTACCCAACCAGTTTTGGAATATGGTTTTTTGTGCATTCAATACGAATTTGCTCGCGTAACATGGCCGTACATATTGAGGTGAAACAAGAACCAGGTCACCAAACAAATACACCAAATAGAACAACGCCCCGACCAGTTAAAAATCCATGTATCGATTAGTCGTAACAAGCGATGCTGAGCGTCCAGCTGAATTTCTGCATAGCGAATCGAAGGTCACTGCTCGATTGAAGCGATTATCCACCACATTTCAACCGACATGAGCCACGCTAACAAACCCCACTAATGATGTTCCGATGTCATGAATAGCGCGTTTCCGATTGTGACCCTCACATCGACGAGACACGAACACGACGTAGAACAACAGCCCAAGTAGGTCGGATGATAGCCTTCTCATAGTTAGAAAATGCAGCGGCACACCGCCGACGAAATTCATTCGACCAAAAGGATTGACAAATAGTTTTCTATCCAAGCCCTCTACTCAGGAACCCTTTATAACAACATAGAAAATCTAGTAATTGGGACTGCAAACGACCGACAAACTGGTTCAGCAATGTTGAGTAGAAATACGTCAACATGTCAGTGTGTCTCCTTAACTAGAAGCTCGACTGGACGGGTGCCTAGTGAATAAGACAGCATAATCCGACGAACCGGATTCAATTCCCGATTAGCAACCAAAAGGTAGCTAACGGCCTTCTTTCCGACAATCCTTAAAAATGCTCTTTCAGGGAAAAACTACACAAATAAGGAAAAGATCTACAGAGCGACGTTTCTTCTAGCAAATCCAACAGCACATTTGGCTCATACGGTCTACATATAAATTCCATCCCGGAAGGGGGAAATATGATGACGGTGAGCATACACGGAAGGATCTTTCCCAATTCCTTCTATGAATTCAAGAATAGCAGTCATGGACACAGGATGTCCTGGAACCAGAAGTCCAGAACTTAATCGAAAGTGAGGCAAAACGCCGCTTTCAATGACTAGGATTGTGGATCCCGTATACCCTAAAACAGGCTTGTTGTTAACTTGGATTGACCTTGATATCTATGGAATATACACTAGTTCAAACAATCACCAGGTATGCCGGCACCGGAAATCGTAGCACAGACCATGTCACCACGATGTGTGCTTACCGAACGGGCCTACCCGACTGCCATACAAGTTCGCCCACGGCGGAGACCAGTCAATTCTATCCACATTTCTGGAACACGGACATTTCGAGGCTTTCTACGAATAGAGATACTCACATCGATGGAAAAACTATCCGTAAGACCTAACCCAACATAAGAAAATAGAGGCACTACATATGACGTGATAACCATACGGTATTTCGCACAATATAAGTTTGAGTACTAATCAAACAACCCATCATAAGAAGAACAAAGTGCGTATGACAAAGACTACTCTTGAACACTAAAGCGATGACAAGTTTGCAGACACTGGAAATGCATTGTGTGGAGAGATAGAAAGAGAAGAATGGTGGCAATTCTGAGTGAATGGAAAAGTACACTGACTGGATGTTCAGTCAGCAAAAAGTCCTTTCTCAAGGCCACTGAGAAAAAAAATTCGGAAAAGACGGCGCAACACACCCAAAGCGTCCCTCGGATCACATTAACAGAATTGATAGATTAGACAAAAGAGATCGCCGGATAGAAAAAGTTTATATATTATAGATCGCAGTCCAAGACACGGATGAAATGTTGAAGATAAAAAAGACGGCACACCCAAAGCGTCCCTCGGATCACATTAACAGAATTGATAGATTAGACAAAAGAGATCGCCGGATAGAAAAAGTTTATATATTATAGATCGCAGTCCAAGACACGGATGAAATGTTGAAGATAAAGACCGAATTACCGATGATGACAACCGTCGTACTGTCAGTTGACACAGCACCATCACCACCACAAACTGTTGACCATAAAGTGTTTGGGGACGATTGGTTTTGTACAGTGTCAGTAGACTGGAAGAGAAATCCGCGGACAAGGGGGGAAAACAGAAGCTGTCTGCAAACCAGTTTAAGAAGGAAACAAAGGTCTTTGTGCGTGTGTCCACAATCGTTTTCTGGAAAGCACAAAACTCCCATATGACTAGTGTCAAGCACAAAAGGGAAACGGAAGTAGGCAGCAAGTAGTAGGAAATGGAACAGAGTCACAAGGACAGCTTCGGCTCCTCTCTATCTCGGTTCAGCCAAATGCGACCAAGATAGAACGGAAGGGGGTTACCAACGGAATCAGCACCCAGATTGTCCAATAAAAGACAAAGATAAATTGGCTGTAAACTCAGTTACTGAACTGCTGGATTGATTCGCCGCCCTCGCTCAGACTATAAAGTCATTTCTGAAGTGAAAAAAATTATACATGAAAGGCTGTGATGAGCTCGCCGAGTATGGAAGTGTGGAACACATCAGGCTAGAGCACTTCCCCCGGCAGCTGGTGGTGGCGGGCCATCTCCACGAGGGTGAGATCTGTGGGATCGGTTAATCAGAGGAAGGAGAGTTGGGTCAAGATGTTGTTCATCGTCAGTGACAAGCAAAGAACCAACGTAGGCTTTTACTGCATCATCCATTGCATCCATTGCAGCCACGAATTCAGCAGGTTGGGGATAGAAGGATAAAAGTCCATTAAAAGCGGAATCAATATACTGATTCGGTGGTGGTGGAGTTCCCGTTTCTGACGGACGGGTCGTCCTTGGTGCAGTGGTCGTAGTTGGTCGGACAACGGGGTCCAAATACACGACCGGACTGTCGGGCACGTTTACACGATTAGCACCACTGCTATTGACCAGTCGACGTGAATAGGACGCAGTGGAAGACGGAACAGCAGCGAGCACCCGAGTGTAGGTGGGATCGACCAACAATGTGGGACAGTACCTGGTCAAGATGGCCAGTCTTCCAAGACGAGACTGACCAGGTTCTGGTCGATGAATAGCGGAAAACTGACGGAGTCTGTGACCGACATTGTGTGAGCTGTCGGAATGTGTTCGACCAGAAGAGGTACTGCCGTTTGGACTCGGATCAGCGGGCAAACTGGATCCACCACGCTGTTCACCCGGTTCATCCGTATGAGTACGTCGAGATCGAACACCAGCCGGAGGCTCATCGCTCTCATCATCATCGTCATCGTCATTAGGGTCAGCATCATCACCATGACAACGCTCACTATCGGCAGCATCCTCTTCGTCATCTTCCTCATCCTCGTCCTCCGCCTTGTTCAAAACATCCTCCAGCGAGGACGAGCTCCACTCCTCGGCATCATATGTACTCCGATCGTTCGAACCCTCATCCGGGTCTTCTGTTGGCCTGTCACATCGCCTTCGTCGACGTCTACCGACAGAGTGACCGTTAAGCACCAAACTACGGGACTTGGTTTGACCAGCCGAGTCGCTCGGTACGAATTCGTCGTGTGAAGTTGACAAAGTGGACCGATGGCGCTTCGTGACCTTTTGCTGATTCACAGCAGCCAGGGCAGCTGCATCGCGTTCCAGTTTGGCCAACTTGGATGGTCCCAAATGGTACAAAAGAAAATGACCAAGAGTTTGAGCCTCCAAGAAGTACTGGTCATCGAGGCAATGTTGCAGAGCTTGTAGCCCTTGTTCCAAAGCGGGTTGGACAGGAAGATCATGTGCCTCTGAAAATGTGAGGGAAACGGCATGCAACATTAGAGGAAAATGAAAGACGAGAGCGATAATGTTGAATGAAACTGGTATGGAGGTTTGTACCTTATATGTGGAAATGTATACGTAAAAGGCTGAACAATATGAACCACAGAGTGCTTGGGTAATCAAAGATTCTGCAGAGCAGACCAGATAGAACGGTTTAGAGTAGCGGATGATGGAGCGTATCCGACCCATTTTGCCTTATTTCTAAGAGCAGCAAACCCAACAGACCAAAGTGTAACCGAATTTGCTTTCGTAGTCTCAGGGAAGTTTATTAGAGCTCCACGCATTCATTTAATTTAGCGACAGTCGGGTTGCTCGGGCTAATTGCCCCATCAAGTGATTCTATTTGTTCACTTCAAATGACCGGTAGAACATGGGATGGCACCATGCAAAATCTCGCCATACTTCAACAATCGGTTATTATAATCAACACCGTACGACCAGGATTACTCGTTTCTACAAAGAACTGTCTCAACAACGGACGTTTTTACCCTTTAAAGCATTGGCAAAAGCAGAAAAAAGTAAAATTGATTGAATCTGACTAAACGGTTCACTGTGGCGCTATCGCGGCACGCAGGGAACCTGAACAAACACTACGACTGACAGGTCTCTTAGACCTAGGGCTGAGGAACCCATAACTTATGGATTACCAGTTGTTGCAGGGTTATGGAATGTGGCCCCTGTAAACATGAAATCCGACACATTGACAATAGCGCTTCATACTCAGTACCAGTGAATTCGCAGTAAGCGACTAAAATGACCAATGCTGACGCGGAGTCTATTGTCAAAGACTGCGGTTGTCTGATCATGTGCCACACATGCAGATTTATCGTCGGCCTAGAATGATGCCAACGAGTTGCCATCGAATAGCTTGGCAGAAGGCTATGGAGGAGTGGAGTCAGGTTGAATCACCTTTGAGAATCAGATGCAGTGACCCCCAGTGAGTTTTGCTAGGAGTAACGCCAGAAATGGATGTGCACCGTTTTTAATGGTGTTTTGGCCTCCAGAGCATGTCGGGGTTGCCCGAGTGCTAGCGATGTATGCTTATCGAATATAAGACCTCCTTTCCGATTTCATCTTTATTTTCACAACGCTCTCGTCAAGCGAAATGGCGGTGGTAGTTGGCGTTCAAAAATACTGGAGATGCTAGAAATGCATCCCACGTAAGTTTAAGAACTTTCCTCGCTAATCCACAACAGCCGGTGCTTTCTGGTTGAATTTCATTCTAAAGAATGAACTTTTATAACTTCTGTGGGGCATGATTTTTGCAACAAGTAGGAAGTCCGACCATCAATACATACTGAAGGTTTTAGTAGACCTCGCTGGTAATTCTGCCAGTGAGAGGCGAGATGCTTGGGTGATACTCATCACCATCTGACTATTTTTTCCGTACGGTCTTCACATATAAGAACCTGCGAGATCATGCTGAAAGAATTACTTACTCAGGACAGCACTGTTGATAACATTAGCTATTGCGTCACGCCACGCCGGATCAAGGAGATGTCGAAGGGGACAATCCGGAGCGCTGGGTGACGGATAGGCGAGAAGACTGACGGATTGCTGTGGGTAGTAAGAAGTGAGATATTTAGTATGGGTACCATGCATCCGATCTCAAAATAGTGACTTGCGATAAATAAGAAACCAAGTGGATCAAACTAAGCGGAGCAAGAAGCCGATGGAAAAACTTGAACCCACGACCTGTCACAGTATGATTATTCTACGATCCGATATATTACGGACACGTGCCAACGTCAGCTAGTTCTAGCGGTAGTGTATCACCCAACTTGTACAAAGTGAGAAGGATGAATGTACTAGTCCTGGCGAATCGACGGAGTAATGGTCAGAGTAAGATCCTAATGACTGTACAAACTTTGGGGAAAATCGATTCTCGGCGGCGGAATTCGACCCTGTGATAAGATGAGCTAGATACCGTAGTAGAAGACAAAATTAGGTGAATTGAGCTCTTTCAGAATGTATCAAAGGTGGCACGCAACCTTAGAGATAAAGATATTTTGATCGAGTTTCAACCTGCAATTTATGCTGAAAAGCTGTGCAGCTGATCCGTCTTTATTTTGGATCATCAGCGGTGCATGTTTCACGAATCCCTGGGAATATCTTAACCCGCGACATCGCAGCTAATAGTTGGGGATTATATCGTTCGAGCATGAGTGGTTGGAGAGCAGCATGACCAACTCACACTTCGACAGGATACTGCACCAGTCCTTCGGACTGCGTGGCCACGTGCTGATGGACTCTTCGACACTTTTCAAGATGTTTTCCTTAGGAATAGAGTGTTTATAAATTGATGTTAGTAGGAGATATTTCAAGGATCCAGTAGGTTTTTCATCCCGCAAGTTAGCCTCAACCGAAAAGCAGAGAAGCAAAGCAAAGCTCTCCCATCCTTGTTTGATAGCGTTAGCAGCGTGCACCTCCAAACCCTAGAGAACCCACGACCTTCCAGATAGTAGTCAAAGTCTATTGTTCTGGGCAATTTCCAGTAAAAAGTCCCCCTGACAGACCGTCAAGCTATGGAATCCCTGCATGCATAGCTATCATGTAACCCGAAGGAGCCTGAGGCACGGGCGCTGAGATGCTGCTACGTTGTCCAAGCCTAGACGGGAGCAGTCGAGATGCTGAAGTTGGGTTCGAAGCGCAGACCTTTATTATCATCATGTTTTGAACTCGTCCAGCTGTGGCACCCTTTCGGTGTCAAACTGCCATGCCACCCGAAGGTTGCACGAGGGCTGGAATACTGCCAGGTTGCCCAAGCCTAGACAACGGAAGTCGAGAGGCAGAGGTCGGGCTCGAACCACGGACCTTTCGGTCAGTAAATTCGCGCTTTAACCACTTGGGCCATCTCGTCCCCCATGCCTTGACTACTGGTACTGAAAGTAGTTGACATACACACTTCCTGACCAACCATCCTGTTGTTACCAAATAACAGAGAAACATTGAACTCCTATACTTCTCAAACGGAATAACTGTTGATCCTTAAACTGAAATACACCTACAGCATATGATAAAGACAGATTTTGAGTGTGAATCCATCAGGGTTCCAAAGGTCACGATGGATGGCAAGAACCGGTGTAAGCCCGATATTTGGTGCCTTTTAAATGTGCAAATATAACGCCCTCGTAAGCCTCATTAGATGCCAAACATTGAAGGATGGAACAGTTAAGCATCGAAGGTGACAACAGCAAACGGATGCGCGGAACACAGCTCTGGGACAACTTTCACCATACAAAACCCTCAATATCCAGTACATACAGCTAAACACGAAGTATTTTGTTTCGCCAGTTTATGGTCCTACTTTTCCCTCCAAGATTTGAAGACCAATTCGCCTAACCCTGTGACCACGGGGTAGGGTAGGTAATGCAGAAAGCTCTAGTCAACATTTGAGTGACATATCCCTGATTATAACGTTTACTGAGTACGGTCATATGAGCTTCATCTGTGTGGCCAAATGGGCGACGTCAGCGTCCTCACTCTGGCACGTGTGTTGTATCCTTTTGGTGCGTAATCCTTGTATAGTCCGGAGCGAGTAAGTGGACTAGACTGCTACCAGATTACTCATGACCAGGCAGTACCAATCAAAAAGCCGGAACACACAGGATAGTAGCTCGCGCTCCAACCAATGAGCTACCTTGAGGAGTAGTAATTCGAAGTACGGAAAGCGAGCTGCTGACCAGATGCACAACGAACCCTCCAATCAGAATGTTTGTTATAATTCTAATGGGTCAATCACCATCCATTCTGTACCATAAGTCTTACTACTTAAGTCGGTAGTTTTTAATAGCAAAAAAAAGTTCCGCGTTTTGTAGGAGTAATAAGCGCTTTCAGCTATTGTGAAGGACAACTCAAATAGAATGAAGTGATTTCGCTGGGTGGCTCTAATGTGTGGTTCTTCGTTTGAAGACCTCTGGTATGGTGCGCCGGGCATTCGGTTGTAGCTGTCAGCTTCTAATTCTGCTCAAAAACCAGAACATCACGTGGGAAAGTGACCAGGGGCTTAGTAAAATGAGAGCACAGCCCTTCGCTTCTTTAACAGGTGCCAATGATTTTCAACTTTTTACCTCATGTCTACTGCACGACTCGAAATTTAAGCTGCAGACACTCCAAAAACGCATTCTCTTCCTGTGGTTGATCACTGTCTAAGGCTTCACTGGTCAGGAATAAGCGCACTCCTCCGCTCCAAGTACAAGAGCGTTTATATGTTCACATAGTCTTGTTTACATTCAGTCTACGTTCGTAAAACAATATTTTGTAAAACTACACGCTCCCTCGTTTGAGTTGACCTCTGGAGTTGCAAGTAAGACTCGTCAGATAGGGATTAATTGAGCACACCTATATAAGTGTACGAAGTGAGCGCTGTTGATAGCCTACTATCCTAGTCGGCACAATGTTGCGGGGAGGAATAATATGGCATAACAAATCCGGAACATCTACCCTTTATGGAATAACGTGATGCTTCATGCGCTGTGCTGGCAACCAAACACGGCATGGCATGTGACCGATCACAATTGAAAGCGCTGAGGCTCGACCACCAGGACAAGAAGGTCCAGCATAACTAATAATACTTCGTTGCAAACGGCACTAATAAGCAAACTGGTGTAAAGAAATAGCAGTAATGGGTGTCGGAGAATGATACTACACTAGGCAGCTTCTGAAGAGATCAGGTTCGTCAAACACCCACAAGGATTGCCGGCAGTGTGAGGAGATTTAGATATTTTCAACTGACATTTCATCCTGTAGGTGAAATCAATCGGTGCTGAAAAGCTAAGAAGTACTGTACAGTTGTTTCATCCTTACTGCGAATCATCAACAGTGCGTATCTGACGCAACTAAGAAGGTTTCGAACCCGCGTCCTCTCAGCTAGTAGATGAACACTTGACAGTTCAGCCACGAACGGCTGATTAGCTCCCACCTAGAGAGGATATAGCGCCGCTCATTCTGGAGTCACTGTGCTTTTCAGCTTGGATTAACTTCACTTACAGATCGAAATCCTATTGGAATTTATAAGGATACCTGTCTCTTTGACGATCTGTCCACATCTAGGTTTAGGTCGCTATTTATCCAGGAAACTACGAAAAGTTACAAACACCCATAGGATAAGGTTCGCTGGCAAGAAAACAAAACCTCGAACTTCTCGAAAATCGAAATCATCATTATCGTCATCATCGACAGTATGACATCAGTGTTAACACAGGTTTTCAAAAACCGAAGTAGGACAGATGGGGGTTCTAGAAATCTTGAATATGGCCCTAATCACAATGCTAACGGAAAAATAGGGTCGTTGGGGTAGACATAAACCCGCGGTCTAGGCCCGCCTGGTGGGGGCTCCACCAATTGAGCTATGGCAGACGACGCCCGACGTCACAGCTGTGCACTTTCGTCCAGATCGAGTTCACCTGTCTAACGGATAAATAGTGCCCATAATCAAGATTTTCGAAAACCCGTCTATCCTAAATCAACTGAAAATTAGTGCTCCTTAAGTAGCTGGGCGATGTCAAAGTTCACCAAGTTGAGGAAGTTACACAAGAGGGTCACTCAAAGACATGAACCGGTGAACCATTAGACTGAGATATGGTAAGCCAATGCACAGTCAGCTGCATGTGCGCAATGGGGGGCATCCGTAGTAGCTCAATTGATGGGGTACTATTCTACACAGGAGGTCGCGTATTCGTATCTTGTCCAAGGACTTTGTCTCTCCATTTGCAGGGTGTGTAATTAATTCCGTACGTAAGATATTTCGAAATTTATCACAGCCAGAGGTGACCCGCCTTTTCCTGATTTCTGCCCATTCCTGTATTGCTATAAAAACTACCTGGTAGAAGATGGCCGCAGTTCAATATCTAATGACCAATTTTTACGTCGTACATTGTTGAAGGGAACATGGGAAAGAAAAGCTTTGTATTGCGTGTGACGCAATACAAATACAACACAAATACAATGAAGTGCACGCAAGAAGGAGAACGCGTCAGAAAGATACCTCGTTCTTGAACAGAAACAAAAAGAACATCTTTATGGAAACCGCAATATGCAGAGGGCTCAGAAAGACTTGGTCCTTGGTTGTTTGAAACCGACAGTCTACAATGTAAGGTATTTGGCTCCGTTTGCTTGTCAAAAACACAAAAGGATACTCACCAATATCCTTTTTTATACATGATGGTCGTGGCGTGTGATCGAGTGGACAAAATCCTGGCTAGCCACTAGGAACCGACCTTAATCTGGTTGCAAACAGCAATAATCCAAGGTGAACTGAGAGTCCAGTTTAACTAGAGGGTCTAAGGAATGTCAGCGCACGTCTAAAAGCGATTTCTTCTGTTTGACAGTAGGTAGGAAAACACCAGTAGCCTTCTCAATACTGGAAAACCGAGTTTCCGTAATTTTCATATTCAGACCAGGATCTCCTGATTTCTGAATGAGCCTCAACTAACCAGATGAGTTGCTACGTATTGTGATTATGTGAGAAATGACCAGTCTGTACGGAATTGTAGATAGAACGCCAAAAATCAGCTGACTTTGTGACTCTTGGGTGAGCTGAGTATCTTAAGCTGCGGATGACAAGAAGTGACGGGACGAAAATAAACAGAGGAAACCCCACCAAAGACAGTATACCAACAGTTTTTTTTCCGATGGCATTCGTAACCAAGTTACCTGAACTGGAGGGCATTCAACAAACAAGAAATGATGAAAATGCAACGTACCTGCAACAAGCGTTCCGTTTCCAACGACAGTCCACCAGTCTTAGCGCGAACCTGCTTGACCAAGTTGACCAATGATCGGCCGAACTGGACATGTCTCATAAGACAGGGTAATTCACTCTTTTCGACAATCTGGGGGATCGGTTTTGACATTTCATCAACGACTGGTGCTGCGGTGGCCTGACTACCATCCGGTTGCGGATCAACTTCCATCCCAGTGAGACATGATGTTGATTCCTGAGTAGGGATGTTTGAGGTACCGTTCTGCGATGGAACAGAGTCGAAGCAAACCCCAGTATCATCATCGACACCAAAGCCATCGTCATCATCATCATCGCCCTCATCTTCATCCATATCGTCGAGACCCACACCCACATCCTCGTCCGAGTCTCCCTGACCGCTGGTAACATCTGATCCAGGAAGGCTGAACAGACGGAGATTGGATGACAGTCCACCCTGGCTGGGTTGATCAGAATCTACTTCCATATCAGTGATTGTTGTTCCATTCTGAGTAAAAAGCAGATGAATACATAATCAATTGTTCCTAAAAGTGTTAAAATCTTCATATGTAGGTTAAGCCGCCCAAACCTTAACACCGCGACTCATTTATCATTTGAAGCACTGAGTTCGGGACAGCTCAGTGGTTGAGCCGCGAACGTACTGGTCCGAAGGTCCGTGGTTCGAACCCATACACAGCACTTCGACTGCTGTTCTCTGGGCTTAGGTAGTCTGGCAATATTCCAGCCCTCGTGCTTCTTCCATGTCAGTTTGGCACGGAAAGAATGTTACACCTGAGTGTTTTTTCGAAATTATTTTTTAGGTTGCCAGAGTGTGTCGACCGCATCTTTCAGCACGATGCACGGGCGGGAGGAAAGCTACCAACCTGAGAAGGCATCTGAGCGTTCGGGATATCTACCACGCAGAGAGTGCAAGTAACTTCTCGATATATTGTAAGGCGAAATAGGAAAAGAAGAAACTAGACGACGCGGATTATGCAAGCTGCCGTTCAAACTCCTTAAGCAGGACTACAAAGTAGGGAGGCGGGAGTTCCCATTGTGGGGACCAATTAGAATGACAGAGGTTAGGTCCGCGAAGGACTTCAACAGCAAGAGCTAGTAGCACCGTACTGACTGACAAATGTGTCCCACTTCGTGCTACAGTGTTTCGATCATGTGCTTATGTGAACCCTTATCACGGACCCAACTGATATGAGAGAACACACCAAAGATGAAAGCGTTTCACAAGTCAGCAAACTGAAACTGAATAGGCATAGAAGAAAGCAAAATTAGTTCACTGAGTTAACTAAACACACCTCGGATATGTTTAGGGAATGAGGCTCGGAAATTTTGTTGGTCCTCTCTGGAACACAACAACTTGAACGAACATGTTGAGAACTGTTTGTCTTCGGTACCTTCGGAGGAGCAGTAGCGGAGTCGGAAGCTGTTGAGCCAAACGCAGTGCTTCTTCCACGACGCATAGCATGCCGGCGCATCTGAGTGTGCAAGCAAACATAGTGAGTAAGAATCTTTATGAAGTTATACTGTAACATACAGTTATTAACACTGGTGGTCTAGAAAATCAGGATGTTGCGCAACAGAAGAATCGAGAGAAAACGTACCATTTCAATCAATTGTCGACAACGAAGCTGAACCAACAGCTCCGGACATCTCTCAAGTACCTGTGGGTACAAGTGATTCAGAGTTGCGGCGGCTCTGCCGTACTGACATCGTCTGCAAAGTGAGCGCAGCCGGCGCCGGTGGAGCATACTAGTGATGCCAGGGAGTTGGTGAATAGGTAAATTGGTCGGTGCGATACAGGAACTGTCGCTATGACGTCGTGCGATATTGACCAACTTGGGAGGCTTAACCTCTGGAATTCCCGTGACTTGCTGTGACCCCAGGTGCGAATCACACGACCGAGATTGTAAACCGGCGGCGATCGGTGGCTTGTCATAATGGACTGGTGATTGGTTAGTCGTGGCGCTGAGAGGAGACGGAGATTCCGCCATATCTGATTGCGCATCGGTTACAGAAAGAGCTACCGAAGCCCATCGTGAAAATGCCTGCGCCGTCGCCACGTAACCGTGATGTACGAGATAGCCAGACACCAACCTAGAGAAACAGGAAAACGGCCAAGTGAAACTGTTAATTGACTAATATAAGCAATCCATCTTCCCGGGTGAGAGTGAACAAGTCAAACTTCAAACTGCAATCGATTTCCCAGGCCGCTGGAATCCGGTTACCCAGCCCGCAGCTCCGCGTTCAGAGGTTAATGAGACCTTTGAACCTCTGTTGTCCAACGGTCAGTCTATCTATGCCGTTATTATTGACGTATGAAACTATCGACTTCCTTACCAGTATAAGTCTGTACTTGCTCTCTTCGTTAAAAAACTAAGTTACCTGAAAAAACACTCACTCCATCCGATGTACTGATGAGTACATGAGTGAACAGTAAAAAAACCGAGAACCAAACAAGACTCCAAAACGTACACACTAGAGTAGAGGGAAGTTTGTCTAGATATGTCTAGCAGCCTGCAAAACGGCAAGAATCAGTAAGGATCCTCGTCGATCAACTCCCGAAGAACCTAACTCCGAACTGACAATTCAATCTACTTTGAGACGTTACCAGGAAAACTGGCATGAATTCCGTAACTAGGGTGAACCAAAGTTCAAAACGGGGGTCGGCACCTTTGACTAAAAAGAGAATGCAATGAAAAAAAGACGATAAGGCAAAAGCCAAAACCAAGTATCAACACCACTAGTACTCAGGCTGATAATTTAACGATAATGAGGCCACTGACATCCGTTGGCTGTTGTACTTTGAAAAGTTTGCAAGTTAACGCAGGTGAGTCATGGAACCACACCTCCTCGGACACACGCCGCTCAATATTGGTCGCCTTCATCCAAGTCACAAGGCACTTGTTATTAGATGTACCACTTCGAAAAACCACATTTTTGGGTAGATGACTGGGCATTAGAGGATGCCAGTTCCTAATGGTCATGACCAACGAATAAAAAACATACCAACGGTTCCAAACATGCAATTACTCAAGCCTCAGTTGGTTTCAGCTCCTACAGTTTCGATCACCGGAAGCTAGGAGCCAAGGATTGGGGGCGGTGGCATAATCGGTTCGCAGCAAATACCACTTTGAAGAAACAATGAAGTGGACAGTTACGCATTGAAACCGAAAGCTCTGATGCATGAGCGCAAATAACTGCGTGATTGTGCCATGTATGCGTGTGTCATTAACCTTGATAAGTTGAGTCCCGGGGTTCCCAAGCCTACTGAACTCTTGTGCTCGTACATAAAGTACCGGAATCGATTTCGACCTTTTGGATTCGTGCACTAACTCTCCACTAAGCATATTTGAAAAACCAATAAAACGGCCGACATACTTGCAGTCCAACCCACATGTAGGGACGTTAAATCTCTAGGAACCAGTGCAGACAACTAAGAGTATGGGCCACCGAGTCCCGTTCAAACCGACTAGTAGAACTATACAATGTAAATGGGTATTAAACAAACCAAACATCTTGACACAGCTCACACACACCCGAGCTACCAATATTCCAACCCATTACCAACAGCTCAGTAATGTTTGCCGAGAATTGGGGTGAATTTATCTTAGGTGACTTCAGTACAAGCTCCCAGAAAAGCTTTCACGACTCCAGGAACTTTATTCGGTTGTTGCTAGTTTTGCTTGCGGAATCATCTACAAGCGACATGTCTAGTTGGTTCAAGCAACACACCAACCGTACCGAAATCTTTGCACGTTTCCAGGTTGGAGCAAACAAACAATTGAGACACTGTAGGTACGTGTGGGATGAACAGTCGCGATGGTTAGTGAACTAGTGCAATATCAAAAAAATCTCACAGACACGCTTCTACAAATTGACGCCGATTGGCAAGGTGGGGTAAGTTCCGGAACAAGCGAATTCTATATCAGTTGTTACGGGAGTCAACTGTGTCACTGACAAGCAGCTGAGCGCAACTATTTTGAGCGAAAAAGCAGTTGATAAGTATAACACAGAAAGAGAATCATACCCGCTTGACTTGCGAACTAACTGATTGCTCTTTGTGTATTTGCTACGAGCATGGGTAAGGAATACCGAAACGTTCACCCTATACCAGATTCTGAGTAAAAAAAAGTTGAGATTTCAATGGCATCTGCGTAGCATCCGACTTGAAAAGTGGAAAAGTGCAAAGTTTGGTGATAACGAACAGCGAGAGAAGACGGAGCGGCGGGAGTTGTTGGGGAAAATATTTTCACAGAAGCTTGCACGTGTCCGGAGGGGAGGGTGTCGTTGTGATGAATGTGTGAATGAGAACCCTGCGTCGGTACACCCGGTGCATTGACGACAAGTGGATCTTTGTCCAGAACGACAGGAAGAGAGCGACACAGCAAAGACAATAGCCTTGGTGCAGGACAACCATTGGCCGTAAAGGTCACTGATCATTGGTTTGTTGTATCGCAAACCCCATCCGGAGAGACGGCAGTTACCAACGCGACTCAGTTGATTAACAAGGACTATCATACTTGGTTACACACTCATGGACTAACCTCCGCTGAGTCGTCTACATCCGACACAAGGGTGGGCAAACAACTTGTGATTAAGGAGCGAACTGAAATGTTCGCAGTTCGAACTCGACTTCTGTCTAGGCATGGGCAACCTGGCAGTGTCCCGGTCGTGGTGCTTCCTTCGGGTGGCATGGCAGCTAGGCACCGGAAGGGTGCTACAGCTGAACGATTATTTCTATTTATTCACTTAGTACAGAGGATCCTACGAGGCAAACGGTCCTCTGCCATACGAAGTATATCTTCTAATTAGCGTAACCTGTGGAGTCATCATCATCATCAATGACAGCAACATCAGTGTTGGCACTGATGCTTCACTGC